TATTCGATCTCTTCATTCACCCAGATCTTGAATGTCGGTTGCGTCACGACAGCCTCGGCAGCGAGGCTGTTGGCTCCTACTGTGGTTGCCAGTTTATTTTTGGTAAAAGTTGTCTTCATTGCTGAATTCATTATAATATCAATCGTTTACAAAGAATTCAAATTTTAACAAAAGAAAATAAAAGATTACAACTTTCTCAAAAATAACGCAAGATCCGTTCGTCGTTTCTTGCTTGCGTGGGTCTTTAGCCGGTGATGGGGACGTCGATATCCGTGGACTACCTGGCAATCAGATCAGATCCAGAACTCCGTCGATTCACGAAGGAATCTAGAAGCAGAAGCGCTTATCTCGACAACGACGAGATAATTGCTCTTCTTAGGATTATCGCAACGGGATAATCCTAAGGATCGGATGCGGATGGTGCAGATCTGAAGAATCTCTCTCTCTAGCATTGAAGAACTCGATCAATCTTCAATCCGGCAGGGCTTCGCCAATTCTCCAAAATTCTAGATCCAGAAAAATGAGGGCCTGAGGCTGTATTTATAGGCTCAGAGGGAGTTCGGGTGGTTGAAACTGCACAAAAGCCTGTTTTTAGGCCTGGAGACACCCCTGGGTGTCTCAGCGAGGCCGAGACACCTCGGTGTGTCTCAACTCAGGCCGAGACGTTCTTTTCCGTGCACTTGTCCGTTTCCGCCGTAATTTCTTCGTCCGAACTCGGATTTGAGTGATTCAAAGTGCGTTGGAAAGCCGACGAGGAGTTCTATAAGCTCTGATGATTAGATCATTATGGATTAAGCTATGATAAGAGCATTGTTTCATCTTTTGTAAGCGACGCGGGACTCCCAATCAGTTCGTATCCTCTTTATTCTGAAACTCCGTTACTCCACGTAGTTCGTCGATCCACTTTAGGCGTTCGTCGACGTGTATCCTCTTTATTCTGAAACTCCGTTACTCCACGTAGTTCGTCGATCCACTTTAGGCGTTCGTCGACGTCAATCAAGCTCCTGTGAATTGGATAGTGATCCACGTAGTTCGTCGATCCACTTTAGGCGTTCGTCGACGTCAATCAAGCTCCTGTGAATTGGATAGTGATGTTCATCATCTTTTCTTAGCGCTGAGCTGTTCGTGGAGACCTTTAGGCAATTTTTGATGCCTACAGAGAGTACCCCGATAGAGGAGATATCACAGGTGGTGGAGATTGATATAGCTCCACAGTGCCTAGATGAGACCATATCCATTAGAGTACCGACTGAGGTGACGTCAAGTGAGCACAATGATGATTTGGAGGATACAGATATAGTTGAGTAGGATTAGGGACCGACAGCTCAGGTTCAGGATTCTATTATAGTTTGGAGGCTGAGAAGAGACATACGAATGCCAAAGAGGTATACAGACATAGTCATTGCATATGCACTTCTGATGGAGAGTGTTGATGAGATGGTTCCTACTACATTCAGAGAGGCCGAGCTGAGTTCAGAGGCTGATTTGTGACAGGTGACTATGTAGGAGAAAATAGAGTCTCTTTATAGGAACAACACATGGGAGTTTGTCGAGTTTCCAAAGGGACGGAAGGCTATTGGTTATAAGTAGGTGTATACGAAAAAGGAGGGCATTGAAGGCACTCCCGTGAGGTTCAAGGCTAGGTTGGTTGCTAAGGGATATGCACAAGAAGAAGGTATTGACTACAATGAGGTCTTCTCTCTGGTGGTGAAGCTGTTGGCCTTCTTGTTTTGATAATGTTTAACAAACAATTTACTTCTAATATTATTTGTCTAGTGTTTGTTGGCCTTCTTGTTTTGATAATGTTTAACAAACAATTTACTTCTAATATTATTTGTCTAGTGTTTGTGTTTTCGTATTTATTCTAGGCAAACAACGAGTTGGAGGATGGATGGAATAGAGCTTCAACGATCATATCCAATGGAGGTTGGCGGAATTGTAGAGTGAAGCTTATGCAATTCTTGTTCAAGATCCAAGTCCAGCTTCATCCGTATAGTGTACCAAGTCAAGCTTATTGAAGATCAAGATCGGCTTGAGTAATCTAGTTTAGATTTTATATTATGTGTGTTAGATACTCTAAGCTCAATATCATATACACACACATTTTATTGGTTTTCTTGTATATATATGTAGTCATATATATATACAACACAAGTTTTGATTTTTATGTCTATAAATATGAAATTACATATTTCATATTTATTATTGTGATTTGGTTTAACTACTTAGATATGAAATAAATATATTTTCATATACATACTCATATGTTTCATTTTCTATTGTATTTATAAAATATTGTATTCTTAGTTTTTGGTCTTAATAATAATCATATACATATTTTATTAAGTCTACATAATCATTGTGCAAAGTTTCAAAATATGGTTTAGCCTAAATGCTAAAATTCATATGTTTACATTTTTGTGTTTTGGACTATTTTGCAAAATGATGATATTTCTCATTTGGGAAGTCCTTTTTGTAAACCAATTTTTGTAGCATGTTTATTATCATGTCTACAATTATTTTCCAAAGTTTTACATTTTTTGGAATTTATTTGATATTTTTAAACAGTGTTTTAAAATCAGCATTTTACTTTCAAACTATCAATTTCATATATCAGTTCACGATCGACCGTCACGGTCGACCGCACCTTTGTTTTTAGCATGCGGAGCCAACAGAAACTTTCGCGGTCGACCGCCACGGTCGACCGTCAGCCCGAATTTTCCCACGGTCGACCGCCACGGTCGACCGCCAAAGTATCTGGAAGTTTTCTAAGTTTCAAAGCTGGCTCACGGTCGACCGCGAGTTTTCCACGATCAGTAACCCAATGGAAAGTTTTAAAGAAGTTTAAAAGAGTTTTAACAAGGGTTTTTAGTTGGGTTCAAAGTCTGTTTGGTTTGTATAGAGTGTTTTACAAGTGGAGAAGATCATCTACAGTGTTTGAACTTCATTTTAATCCTCCTCTCCAACTTGATTTTCAGAGAAGAATTCCTAAACTCTATTCTCTAGCTACTTATCATTTTTGTTCATAATTTCTATATGCTAGATTTTAATTGAGTTTAGTTGATTTTATTTCACTCATTGTTTACACACACCCACTTGAGCTTATTGTATTTACATACATTGTATATTTGGGTTGGTGAGAGTTGTAACAATTGAGTGTGAGCTTTTATTGTGTCCTCATCCATATTAGAGGACAATCATTCTTGTAATTATGCTTATTATGAGAATCACTTTATAATACACTTGTACACCGAGAGAAGTGTGTGCCGAGAGTCGGGGATCGTCCCAAGAGGAGTGGCGTCGGTTGACGAACCTAGGGAGTGTGCCGAGAGTCGGGGATCGTCCCAAGAGGAGTGGCGTCGGTTGACGAACCTAGGGAGAGGTTGTAACTAAGAACTTGAGGGAGACACGTCTAGTTCAACACTTGAGAGGGTGTAGAGTGGGATTGCAAGAGTGTGTAAGTTGTAGAGTTTTCGGTAAACTAGAAAACCGTATTGTAAGGTGTAAACGTTGTTCGGGTAAACGTAGAAAATCCGGTTGTGATAGTGGAGATCTCCTCGAGGTGAGGAGCGGAGACGTAGGTCGTGGGGACCGAACTCCGTAATCATATCGTTTGTTTGTGATTACATTGGCGCACTTATTTTTATGTTCATATCTTATATCACCTTTGTATATTGCTTGTTGATTATATTGCCCACTATCTAGTTTAGATTATTTACCCTTGTGTTAATTATATATCCTTACATATATCTCATTGCTAGGATATTTACCTTAGTTCATATTGCTCATCCTAGCTCATATATATTGTTGTGTTTTATACTTGCTAGGATAACTTGTTAATTAATTTTAATTGGTATTTAATCGGATTAGATTAGCATAAGACCCTAATCACCCCCCTCTAGGGTCTAACAGAATCATTCTTCGATTCGTATTTTTCTAGCTTTAGTGGCACAGTATGGTTTGAAATTAGATCAATTGAATATGAAGACAATATTTCTTCATGGTTATCTTGATGAGGAAATCTATATGACTCAGCCATTGGGGTTTTGAGCTGCAGGGAAAGACAAGTTAGTTTGTTGATTGAAGAAATTACTATACAGTTTGAAGCAATCTCCGCAACAGTGGTATAGGCGATTCGATGGTTTTTTGCTCGGTCATTCATACATTAGGAGCCAGTTTGATCCTTACATGTATTAACGTAAGTTGTATGGAGGTGCATACATTTACTTATTACTTTATGTCGATGACATGTTGGTTACTTCTATTTCCAGATCTGCCATAGATAGATTGAAGATTCAGCTTTCGAGCGAGTTCGAGATGAAATATTTAGGTGAAACGAAACAAATTTTGGGAATGAAGATCGACAGAGACAGAGATAAGAGTAAAATTTATTTGACATAGGTGGCTTATTTGAAGAAGGTTCTGCAGTGGTTTAATGTGAGCATGGAGACAAAGCCAGTTAGTGTACCATTGGGAGCCTATTTGAAGATTTCAGTTGACCTTTCACCAAAGATAGTTGAAGATATAGATAGTTGATGTCGAAGACTCCATATGCGAGCGCAGTTAGAAGTTTGATGTACATCATGGTTTGCATGAGGTCGGATTTGTCACAGGCAATGAGCATGGTTTCGAGATTCATGCACGACCCGGGTTCGGGTCATTGGGATATCGTGAGATAGATTTTGAGGTACATTCGAGGTAGTCTCAACGTTGGTTTGGTTTTTGAGCAGGACACTAGTGGTGGATAGCTATGTATTAGATACGTAGATTCAGAGTACGCTGGAGATTTGGATAAACGCCGGTCAACTACGGGGTATGTGTTCACTTTGACTCGAGCGCCGGTGTGTTAGAGATGCACCTTATAGTCTATTGTGGCTTTGTCAACGAGGGAGGCAGAGTATACAGTGATTACGGAGGCTTTTAAGGAGGCGATTTGGTTCCAAGGACTTTTGGAGGATCTTGGTGTTTCACAACGATCCATCACCATTTATTGTGATAGCATGAGTGCTATTTATTTAGTGAAGAATCAGGTCTTTCATGTGAGGATAAAGCATATCAATGTTCGTTATCACTTCGTTCGAGATGTTCTTGAAGATGGGGATGTGGAGCTCGTGAATGTCTGCATAAAAGACAATCCAGTGGATATGCTCACAAAGGTGGTTCCGAGTAACAAGTTCGATCATTGTAGAAACTTATTACAAATTCGTGATTGTTGAGGTCATTTATGGCTATTTGGATGAATTACGGGCGGCTTGATCCCTTGGGAGAGGGGGTACGTAGGCAACTACATGGGTGTAGTCGTATTTGGCGAGATGACGCATTGGTGCTCATGTTGGTGTCGGCTCAGTTTTGGGAACACTTCGTCGAGGTGGAGAATTCTAGAAAATGGCGAAGGATTTGAGAAAATCATGAGAAAATCGTGCAAACACACGAGTACAAGAAATCCCTCGAGTCGGTTGATCGACAGCATAGGCCCGGTCAACCGACAGATTGCTGAATTACAGGATTTGAAACCCGTCTCTGGTCGGTCGACCGAATGGGTATGGTCGGTCGACCGAACGGGTATGGTCGGTCGACCGAACGGGTATGGTCGGTCGACCGAAAACATGCACGTTACAGGGCTGATTTTTCACCTCTCTGGACGGTTGACCGGTCACATGTGTGCCGTCGACCGACAAGCAGTTATGGGCATGTTTTTGTTTTCCTGGTCTGTTTTGGATTGAGTCTTGATATAAATAAAAACACACGTTTCTAGGGTTTAGAGAGAGCATTTAAACCACAGAATTGTGAGTCTTTTGAGCACTTTAAGAGTGAGATATTGGACAAGTAGTTACATTCTACCCATAAGAGTTACATTCTACCCATAAGAGTTTTGCAGAAAATAGACAAGTTATGCTCTGATTTCTTATGGAATTGCAAGATGCATCTGGTATCTTGGAGAGATGTATGCACAGACAGGAAAATGGGTGGTCTGGGGTTATACAGTGCAAAAACATGGAATTATGCAGCTGTAATGAAACTACTATGGATGATTCATACAAAAAAAGATATATTATGGATTAAATGGGTGCATGAAAACTACTATGGATGATTCATACAAAAAAAGATATATTATGGATTAAATGGGTGCATGAAAACTACATACACCAAGTGGATATATGGCAAATTCAAGCAAGAAGAACTGATTCTTGGATGTGGAGACAATTACTCAAGGTTAGAGACTTGGCTCTCAATAAATTTGGTGATAGAAACAATCTGCAGAGAGTTATGAAAGAATGCTATGATAATGGGAAAATACAAATATATGAGATATATAAAGCCCTGACTCACTCGACAACTCCTAATGATACAATGTCAGACTCAATCTGGGGGGGGGGGGCTGCACTACCCTAAACACTCAATAATCCTATGGCTAGCCATCCGCTCAAGACTGCTAACTAAGGAGAGACTATACAAGATGGGAATGATAACTGAAAGCCTATGCACCCTGTGTGCATCTCAACAAGAAACATGTAAACATTTGTTTTTTGAGTGCCAATACTCAGCAGCTATCTGAAATGGAATTATGGAGTGGTTATGTTACTCGAGGAGGTCATGCAACTGGGCTCAAGTAGTGAACTGGTATAGTGCTGAACTGAAAGGGAAGAGATATATGAAGAAAGCAAAAAAGAATGGCTCTTTCGGCAACTGTCTATTGGATTTGGAAGGAAAGGAATTTGAGGATTTTTTAAGGGAAACATCAAACTCCAGTCCAACTGATTAGGAAGGTGAAAATCTCAATCTTAACTAAGGTACATAATGAAGATATACCTGATTATGTAAAGGAAAAGATAGGAGGATTGTAATCTAACATAGATATGTTGGAATTCTTGTTTCTCACTAGAAAACCTAGTGAGACTTGATGTGTATACAAACTTTACAAATTGGGAAATGAATAAAAAATTTTCATTGACCAAAAAAAAAGAGTGAGATATTGAGGGAGTTGAGAGATTTGGTTAGAGTTATATTTGAGTGATTTTGTGAGTTGTAACCTGTTGTATTTCTCCTCCATATAGTAAATCTCCCCGTCCTCTCCTCGTGGATGCATGCAATTGTCGAACCACATAAATCTCTGTGTTTGGTTTGATTTGTACGGTATTTTCATGGATTGCACTCGTATTTGGTTTAGTTCTCCTCTCTCATCGCTTACCGACTAGTTTGGTTGTCGAACACGCTTCCGTACGGCGCGCAACACGCCTAATATAATTTGGCACTAATTTTGATGATACAATTGACTGGCATTAAAAAAACCCACTATTCTGAAAGTGAATTATTGTTAGCATAGAACATACTAAATAGTAAACAGTAACAAATTGGACGAAACCAAAGAATACATACAATTTGTTACTCACAAAATCTAAGACAAGTAACAAATTTAAGGACCAAATCCATCAATTTGAAAGACAAGTTAAAGAACTCTGGTATCCACAAATTTAAGGACCAAATCCATCAATTTGAAACCAAAGAATACATACAATAATTAATCTGAAAGACAATTTAAAAAACTCTGGTATCCACAAATTTAAGGACCAAATCCATCAATTTGAAAGACAAGTTAAAGAACAAAGAATACATACAACAATTAATATGAAAAAAATATCTAATTTTTACAAATCCATCATCAACAACAAACTCCTTAAAGATCTAAGACACCAAAATTCAATCTTTAAACAAGATCAAAAAAATAAATTCCCAAATAGAGTCCATGCATCAACTTAATGACTTTTCCCCATAGGGAAAACAGTTCAAAAGCTTCTATCTTGACCAATAAGCACAAAATAAAAATAAAAATAAAAACCAGATCTAGTTCTACACTACTACAGAGAGATGCCAGATGTCAAAGAGTAGGAAAGATTTGTGATGAGTGATTTAGAAATAGAAGAAGAGGTGATTCTACCTACATGAGCAAGTGGGAGCAGAGACTATGTAGACCTGATTGTTATGATTTCCCCTTTATTTCCTAATTTCTTGAAGCGGGGTGGTAGAGATCAGAGGGAAGATTTTTCCGTGGAGGGAACAATTTTTGGTGGTTGAAAAATTAAGAGGCACGATCGATTTTTTTTGGCATGAACACTATCCCTCCGAAGCAGATATAGGTGCCCGATTTTTTCCCTTCCCGTGCTTTATAGAAATATCTTAATTTTTGCTTTATAGAAATATCTTCATTTTTAATTAAATTATTTAAGGTTCTAGATGGGCCCGTTTCAAATAAGATGCTATTATCATAATCATTTCAATTAGGGTCCACTTGAAACACTTAATTAAAGTGGTGTTGCTAATAAAGCTAATTGTAGTAGTGTTAGTAGTAAAGAATATATCATGATTTAATTCCTGATTTATTTTATGTTAGGTGAATTAAATCTCTACCATAAAAGTTTAAATACTAAATTTATTTTCTTATTCTTCATGCAAGAGAACTATGTTTCATCGGGCTCGGTATTATTGCATTTGGTATTGTGATGTTTATGTGGATGTACTTTTTTTTTATGATTTCATTTTATTTAGCGACATCAATGAATATAGTTTTTTCCATTTATCGTAACATAACATACACAAATAAATATTATGAACATAAATAAGGAAATTTAAATATCACACATACAACTATCCCATTTTATATATAAATATGTCCACGTGCTATGCACGTGCGCTATACTAGTATCATAAAAGAGGAATGTGGGTTTTTGGCTGGATTAGTGGAGGGCATATGTTTGATATACAAGAAGGGGAGTTGAAGTCTTAAAATTGATGGTTACGTGCTAGAGATATAGAAATATAGAAACGAGCTAGTTTTTTGCTGGGACTAGAAGGGATCCTACAACAGCTAGCAGCTTCGATGGCGACTGGCTTGCTAACGACTTTTAGAAGTGCTCAACGTATTGTCGTACAAGCTCCTCAGCACTAACCAACATCAGTTTTGGTCACCACCACAGAATGAAGCTTGGTTAAAGACGAATAATGACTGTGCCATCGATAAAACGAAGAAGGAAAAAAGAAAAAAGCAGGTGGAGGGATGGTGATGAGAAACTCAAGAGGCGAGGTAGTACTTGCGGCTATTTCTCTTCTCCTTTGTTTTTCCAACCCAGGATGCACTGGCAAAAAGAGATGTTTAGCCTTACGTTGAGTTTGGTGCAGCTATTGACGCTCGCTTTGATCCCCTTGACATAGAGTCATAGAGACAGATTATGTTCAACTAACTGCAAGATTACAAAGCGAAAACGTTGAAGGTCCATCGGGTCATATTATTGAAGATATTTTCAAGTTTCTAGAAATGTCAAACTGTTGGAGAATAATAGCTCACGCGCAAGCTAAGCAAGCTATTGGAGTAGGTAACTACCAGAATTTGAACGGAGGAAATTCCATCTATATTTATTGATCACCGTTTAGCAAGAGGTTAAGAAAGGAGGGTTAAGTAGAAGGATTAGCTTTGTTAACCCATGCATAAAGAGCTAAAAGTAATGTACGTAATTCCATTTGGATTAGATAGTTAACATGAAGGATTAATTTTTTTGTATTTGACAAACAAGGAAGAGTTAAGGAGGTTAATCCCTCTAATTTTTTCAGAGTACCAATTTTAACCGTACTAGATTTTACACACGTGCAATGCACATGGTTAAATACCATGACTAAGTATTTCTGGCTTATTTTCTAAGTAAAATTTGTTCATCAGTTCCACTTTATTTAATAGTTTATGCTCACTTTTGTCTCTAAACTTTTATATCACGATTTTTTTATGTTTGTTTACATGGTCTACACCCAATTTAAATTTTCATGTTGATATTTGAATTGACAAAAAACAAATATAATTTGAAGCCAATTTGAATTTTCATATTATTTTGACCGATATCAAACCAAACTTTACTTGAGAAAGTACAGTGTTGCAAAAATGAAAATATTAAAATAGTGTTAGGTGAATATTTAAAACTAATAAGGTAAAATGATTAACTAAAAGTATGCTATAACGATATAATAGAAATATGAAGTTTGTTTCTAATCATTGATAGACTTCATAAAAATTAGAAATTAAAGATTAATATTAACTCTATTATACTTTTATATGATTAAAGCATCCACATAAGCATATAAAAATATTAAAAAATTTCATGAAACTCCATTCTAAAGATTCCTAATTTCACTCAAAATAATTAAATTATTTTATAATATATTTAGAAAATATTGTCTTTTATTCCTTCTGTTTTATTTTTTATTGAGCTAAGATCAATATATCCTTCTTCACAATTTTCTTTTTCCCTGGCAATTCTCGTGTCTTCATCATCTACATCAATTGTGATATCAAGTTGGAATTATATTTTTATACTGTTATCTTTTTTGGGCTCATTAATCTTTTTATCTTCTTGTTTAACTTTACAAAGAAGTTAAATATATTTCCGATGTTCAACACAAACTGCTTAAAATATAGACTTTGATTTTTTTTATTTCAATGAGAATAAATGTTAATTTCATATTTATGAAATTGTTTGTGATTCTAATTTATTACTTAAATAAGATTAGAAGCTATCACTTTTTTTCTACAATGAATTCTTCTGATATACATCCATAAGAGTTTATATTATGTCAATAATATTACATTTTCTCTATCCCTCTCATTTTTCACAAAAATCTAAGCTAAATACTTGCATTTTTTATTACTAATTTGCCTTAAATTGTAATATTAATATTTAATTTTTTTAGTATTTGAAGAACAAAATATGAAATTTATGAATACTTACTAATTTTTTTATATCTTCTATGGAGAATTATTCTTTGATTGGGATAAAGTTGTTAAATTATTTTTTAACGCAACTCAGTCGGTGCTTCTTTAATAGATATGCTGTTAAATTATTTTTTAACGCAACTCAGTCGGTGCTTCTTTAATAGATATGCTTTATGTTAATGCTAATTCAAGTGATTTAACGCAACTCAGTCGGTGCTTCTTTAATAGATATGCTTTATGTTAATGCTAATTCAAGTGATTTATGGCTATTTTCTGAATTTTAAATTTGTTTCCATTACTTTCTCATTTGCAATAAAAATAGCTTAAATTTTTTGAAAGGTATCTCTGAACATTCTGATAGTTTCTCTATATACATTTCCTTGTATTCTTTTACCCTATAAATATTATTAAAATTAAAAATTAATGTTTCTAAATTATAATTAATTAATGCTAAGCTATTATATTATAGTATTTTATCATTTTATGGATTTAAATATTTATCAATTAATGTTACTAATGTATTTTTGTTGCTTCAACCTATTACTAAAATTATATGCAGTTACTTTAATTTATATAGTAACGATAGGTTTAAGCTATAATATTTTTTAATTTTTTATTCCTTAGCCGGATGTTTTTAATTAATTATTATTGCTTTTGTTTGCCAATATCGACTTATACTATTTTTAGATGCTAAAAAGGGATAATAAACCCTAAATTGAAAATTACACACACGCATCTTAATGAAAAAAATACCAAACAATTACATTTTTCTTTGTCAAGTTTTAAAATTTTAGCCCCTTTTTTAATAGTTTTGAACTTTGAGTGTGTGACTTGTAGTTTTTAAAACTTTAGGAGTGTTTTTTTTAAAAAAATTCTTTTAAGTTTGGTAGTTGTAACTTCTATGTTTCATGTGTTGGTGGTAATTTTTTTAAATGTGTCATGATACTTCATACAACTCTAAAATTTTGAGGGTGTTTTTTGTAATTATTAAAACTATAGATTAATTTTAGAAAATTTTAAATTTAGCGGTTTACTAATAGTTTCCAGATTTGATGTGTACTTGTTATAAATTTTAAAAATTTAGAGTTTTTTTACAATTTTTTAATTTTGAAGGAGTTTTTTTATAATTTTTGTCACTTTGAGGTTAATTTTAGTATATTTTAAATTTTTAGGTACCTGAGGGTAATATCTTGAAGTTATCTTTTGTTGTCTCGAATTTTTAAAATTTTGGAATTTTAGGGTGATTTTTTATAATTTAAACTTTTGAGAGTGTTTCTATAATTTTTGAGATATTGAGGTGTTAATTAAAAATTTTAAATTCTTCAGAGAAAACTATTAATTCTTTATTTCATGTTTGTTGTTTTAAGTTTTGAAATGTTAGAAATTTTTGGGTGCATCATGGTAATCCCGTGAATTCATCTATGTTGTTTATAAGTTTTGAAATTTTAAAATTTCAGGGTGCTTGTTTGTGAATTTTTGAAGGCGTTTCTATAATTTTTGAGACATTGAGGTGCTAACTGTAAATTTTAAATTCTTCACAAACTGCTGTTAATTTATTGATTTCTTATTTTTTATTTTAAGTTTTGAGACATCACGATGGTTTTTATAATTTAAAATTTTTCAGGATATTTTGTGCAATTTTAAAACTTTTGAGGATTTTTTTGCAATACTTCATGTATTATAGTATGTTAGCTACGTATAATTTTTTTATTTTAACAAACTAATACCATAAAGATGTTTTATATATTTTATTAATATTATGTTTTAAATTGTTAAGCTATAGATAGTTCACGTATGATTATGATATGATGTAATTATGATTAGGATAGATTAAGATATAAATAAAATATTTAAAATAATAAAAATGGTAATATTGACCATTGAAAGATTTTCATGAACTCGTGATTTTAAAGAGAGTATGATTAAAAGTAGGACAACGTTCCAATAATTATTATTTAAGATGTATTTAACTTGAAATTGCATTCATCTAAACTATTAAAAATATTGTCATTTTGTGTTATTTCAATAAATAATTGTGGAGAGAGCTAATAAAAGCCAATTTAAAATAGAAAAGCAATAAGCTTGTGTTTATATAGAGACGAGAAGAGTTTTTATTGTAAACAATACAGTATGATGGGTTTTATGGGGAAGAACTAAGAAGAGATTTCCGCCGGCCAAGTATTTTGCTCTCCACCTATTATGACTATGAGAGCATCTCCAACAGCTTCCCCAAAAATTTCTTCAAAATGGGGAATCAAATGTCATATTCTCCAAATTATTTTTGCTCCAACTCCAACAGCTTCCCCATTTTGAAGAATCATGCATTTATTACAATAATAAAAATATTCTGCATCTTTGACTAATAAATAATAAATTATTTATTATTTTGAAGAATTCCCATTTTGACCAAATTATTTATTATTATAATGAGGAGATGGAGTTGTTTTTTGTGGGTTGAGTCTAGAAGAACGTGAAAAAGTACTTCCCCAAATATTTGCAAAATGCTGTAGATTTCGGGAAGGCTCTCTATTTTTTCTCTCTTATCCCCATTTTGGGGAATGAGATGGGAATCTATTGGACAAAAAAAAAGCTCAAAATTCTTCAAATTTTAGAATACCAAGAAGATGGGGAAGCTGTTGGAGATGCTCTGAGCTTCCCCCCATCAAAAATATCTTTCCAAATAGTATCCCCCTCTAAAGTATCTTCCCGTTCAATCAGATTACTTTATATGCTAAGTAATTAATTTTTTTAAAAGAGACTTCTTAATGAATGTGATCGTTTATTTTAGTATATTTCAGATTTCCCCTTCATTTTAAAAATCTCATTGACGTTTTTTTACGAGTACATATAATTTAGAGTTTTACTACAGTGATCCAAAATATGTGATTAATGAGGGGGACAAGTGAGGTGTTCCCCCCTATTAGATAATGAGTTGACATCATTGGCCAAGGTTATAGCTTATGAAAATCACAAATTTTGTCATTCCCATATTAAATTGAGTCTTTCGACAAGAAGTAAAAATTGACAAAAATCCTGGATTATAGCTAACAGTCTCTCTTTTCTTCTACAGGCTATGGCAGAGGCTGCACATCCTGCATGCATTTTAGAGACGAGAAAGACAGCTCCAGGTCTACGTTTGGTGGACAAGTGGGCGGTATTTATCGTTTCTCATTATTTTGTACTTTCTTTTGTTTCTAGTAGTCACTAGAACTGTCTTCCCTGACAGGTACTAATTGGCGGTGGAAAGAATCATAGGATGGGTTTGTTTGATATGGTCATGATAAAAGACAATCATATCTCAATTGCTGGAGGTGTCACAAATGCTATCAAATCAGTAGACCAATATTTGGAGGAAAAGGGCCTTCATATGGCTGTCGAGGTATAGTCGCCTAATTTAATTAACATGCATATTTTGACCATGGGTTGTAATATTTACCGGTTAATTTTTATTTAGGTCATGAAAAGAGCTCAAGAATTCTTCAATTAGTTGTCAGATTGCTTTAATCTTTTACTACATACAAACTATGATATCAAACCATGATAGGTAATGATTCTAATAAACTCACATTAATTGATCTTAGATTCTACAATTATACTCGAATGCTTACTTTTATAACATCCAAGTTACACCATGAACCTATACCCATACCCGACACGTTAGGGAACCGTTCACCATACTTCTTAGACACTCATTAAATATATGAATACATTTATTCAGACGCGTGTTTAATTATGCAATACATACTTTAATTTAAAACACTCTGTCATACACTTCTTGAACATATATTATGCATTTCACATCCACTTCTGAAGCTTGTCGGACAAGCGTCGGATTTGTTTCAACCCATATTTAATTTAACAACTACTGCTTGTTCTTTGTGTATCTAACTCAGAACTATGATTTCTGCTCGTGTTTCAGCAGTGTCCCATTTCCCTAGCATTTACAAATTCGTTGTGTCCGGTACCCTCACCGGCCCCCGCATCCGCACCCATACCTGTATCCATGCAACTTAGCAAGAAATATGTCTGAAGTAAATATTAAGCACTCAACTTTCTGGTTACTAGTTAAGTATTACCTATTACTCTTCATTACCTTAATTTTCTTTTTTCTTTTTCTTGTTACCACTCAAGTATAATATCCATTGCTTATCTTCTCTGGTTTTCCTTTTTCCCCCTCTTTTCTTTTCTTTTCCCTTTTTTCCCTTCATTGTACTTCTTTTTTTTTTAGTTCGTTTCAGTATGTACCTTTCAGCAATGCTGTTCAATTGCTTATAATTTATTTGATTTCCTTTTACAGGTTGAGACAAGGACGTTAGAAGAAGTGATGGAAGTCTTGCAATACGCTATTCAGAATAACACTTCTTTGACCAGAATAATGTTGGACAATATGGTTGTACCTCTGCCCAATGGGGATGTGGATATTTCCATGCTAAAGGAAGCAGTTGACTTGATAAATGGTAGATTTGAGACTGAGGTATTGGGTTTTTCTTATTTATGTTGCTTTTCTTTTGGAGTTTCATCAGTCAAACATCACACATGGTGCCGTTAAAACTGGTGATTGATACTTTCCTGTTCATATTCATTAACGTCTAATGTTTGTATACACCTTGGCAAGCTGTGCACATTATCTTTTTGAGATCAGAAGTGTTCAAGTTTTTTCCTTTGATATGTTGAAGCAAGAGATGCTTATTTTACCTAAAATTTTCAATTCCAATAAAATTTTTAATCTCTCGAATTCAATATAAGTTAGATATAGCACAGGATTAATTATATACCTTGATATATCATTGTGACATTTTTCAATCAATCACCTGCAAATATGACATATTGTTGACATCGAATACAGAAGAAATGTTAGGAATTCATTCCGATGTTCCTCCTTTTGACTTTTCATCAGTTAAGATCTGGTTGCTTGAAGATGCAGCCAGTGTGAAAATAAGCTTAGATCAAAATTACAAAAAACAGCCAGTAATCTGATATTAGTTTGAAACTTGAATCACATACCAAACAGTTTATTATGTGATAGTAACGACCCTGCCAGTTTTGTTTTCCTTGCTGCGTTTTAAATTCGCTTCCATGTAAAGCAATTTACTAACAAAGTCCATAGTGACAGGCATCTGGAAATGTTACTCTTGAAACAGTGAAAAAGATTGGCAAAGCTGGAGTAACCTACATATCCAGGTAACTGTGAATTTCCTACATATTTCCATTTTTTGTTACAAATTTAAATTCTGAATTGCACATTTTTCTTGTAAATATCTTAGCTGTGAAATATAATCATATTCATATCTTTCCCAAATGAGTAGTAGAAAATGAAAGGTTATAATTTGTTTTCAACATGATATCCTGGATAACTTCATGCATGAAACTAAAGGGATATTGGATGTAAAAAACTTTTCATTTTGATTTTGGGTGGTTACGAAAAAAAGAAACTGACTGGAGGCTTTCACTTGTGATTCACGTATGTATAGGAAAGAAGTCCTATGGCTATGATGAGCCTACACTATTATATACTGTGAAATTTAAGAGATAAAAACCTGAATTCCTCATTCCTCCCTTGAAACAGAATTACAAGGGCTATTTATAAGCTAATACAACTAAACCAACAAAATAGAAAATCCTGATTTCTATCCCATGAAATCAGGAACAGAAAAAACAAACTGCTGATTTCCATCCCCTGAAATCAGGAACAGAAAAACAACTGCTAAGAAATCAAATCAGGATCTCTTTTATTCAAAAAACTATCTAAAAAATAGGAAGTTAATTATTCCTTAACTTTGAGCATATTTTCAACACTCCCCCTCAAGATGGGTTGTATATGTTATATAGACCCAACTTGCAACTTAGCTCCTCAAAGTTAGTCCTGGGTAATGCTTTGGTGAGAATATCTGCTGTCGAGTTGGAACGTAGTTCAATTGCACTACTGCATTGGTGATCTTCTCTGATATGAAGTGTCGATCAATTTCGATATGTTTGGTTCGGTCATGATGTACCGGGTTCTTTGTAATACTGATTGTAGCCTGGTTGTCACACATTATCTGAATTGATGAAGTACAACTTACTCCAAGCTCAGCAAGTAACCTTTTTATCCAAATTCCCTCACAGATTCCAAGAGCTAATGCTCTAAACTCTGCCTCAGCACTGCTTTTAGAAACCACTGACTGTTTCTTGCTTCTCCATGTCACTAAGTTCCCCCAAACGTATGAGCAGTACCCTGATGTTGACCTTCTGTCAGTAATATCTCCAGCCCAATCAGCATCTGAAAAGACTTCAATGTCTCGATTATCTGATTTCTTGAATAAAAGACCTCTTCCAGGTGTCATTTTTAGAAAACTCAGAATTCTATATACTGCATTCATGTGTTCCTCTGTTGGATTGTGCATGAATTGGCTGACAACACTAACTGAAAAACCAATATCAGGCCGGGTATGAGAGAGATAGATGAGGCGTCCCACAAGTCTTTGATATCTCCCCCTATCGACAGGTGCACTGTTTTTCTCTGACCCAATTTTCTTGTAAGGATCCATTGGAGTATTTGCTGGTTTACATCCAAGCATTCCAGTTTCCTTCAGCAAATCCAGAGTGTATTTCCTCTGAGACACAATAATCCCTTTCCGAGATCTTGCTACTTCCATTCCAAGGAAGTATCTGAGGTCACCTAGATCCTTGATTTCAAATTCTCTTGCAAGGTGATCCTTCAACTTTTGTAGCTCCTCTTCATCATCTCCAGTAAGAATGATATCGTCAACATAAACTATCAGGATAGCAGATTTCTTTGCTGGAGATGTTTTTATAAATAAAGTATGATATGCTTGACATTGAGTGTATCCATATCTCATAACTGACTTTGCAAACCTGTCAAACCAAGCACGAGGAGATTGTTTGAGGCCGTACACAGATTTTTTAAGTTTGCAGACTTTGTTGTCAGTTAGAGAATTGCCTAGGCCCGGTGGAACTTCCATATATACTTCCTCTTCAAGATCTTCATTTAAGAAGGCATTTTTGATATCCAGTTGATGCAAGGTCCAGTCCTGATTTGCTGCAAGTGATAGTAGAATTCTAATAGAATTGAGCTTTGCAACTGGTGCAAAAGTTTCTTGGTAGTCAATTCCATAGGACTGCGTGAATCCTTTAGCCACTAGTCGAGCTTTCAACCTTTCAACACTTCCATCTGCCTTATACTTGGTAGTGAATATCCATTTGCATCCAACTGGTTTCTTTCCAGGTGGGAGATCTGTCAGAACCCATGTATCGTTCTTTTCAAGTGCATCTATTTCTTCCTTAACAGCCTTTTTCCACCCAGGATGTTTGAGAGCCTCATGAATAGTAGTAGGCACCTGTATACTATCAAGTGAAGAAACAAACACACGATATGGTGCAGACAATCATTCATATGAAACATAATTAGCAATTGGATGATTGGTGCAAGTCCTGACACCCTTCCTCAAGGCAATTGGCATATCAGAATTATCAATAGTAGGTTTCACAACTTCACCTGAACCAGGACCTTCCTTTCCAGATTCACCAGAACCAGAACCTTCCTTACCTGCGCTAATTTCAGACGGACTTGGATTCACTTCAGAATGTTGATTTAGTGGATGTGTTTTATGCTCTATCTCTTCTCCAGTTTTCTTCCTTCTAGTATAGACATGAAGGTTCTTAACTGCAAGTTGTGGAAATGTTGATTTTGGTGAAGGTGGAGATTGACTTTCAGTTGAAGGAAGGATGACAATAGGTGACGGATTTTCGAATGGTATGGATTCTTGAAATTGAGGTGAGTGAGTTGGTGGATTAGTAGTTTCCAACAAGTCCCAAAACTGATGTTCACTCAATTTCTCCCCCTGGATATCAGGTTTGGTGTAGTATGGTGTGTTCTCAAAGAATGTTACATCCATGGTGTTATACATCCGTCTTGTCATTGGTGAATAGCATTTATACCCCTTTTGGCTTGGAGAATACCCTAGGAATATACATTTGTGAGACCTTGGGTCTAGTTTGCTGCGGTGTTGGGGGTAAATATGGACAAATGCAGTACACCCAAAGATTTTTGGAGGTAGATTAGAATGAAGGATTTTGGTGTGTGGGAAAGACTGATGAAAGACTTGATAAGGAGATTGGAACTTTAAGACACGCGAAGGCATTCTGTTTATTAGGTAAGTGGCGGTTAAGACAGCTTCCCCCCAATATGACTTTGGCACATTTGATGAAAACATGAGACACCGAGCAACTTCAAGAAGATGCTTGTTCTTTCGTTCAGCAACTCCATTTTGTTGTGGAGTGTCAACGCAAGAATTGATATGGACAATTCCTTGACTCAAAAAGTAAGTTCCCAAGGTATTTGTAAAGTATTCTTTTGCATTATCAGTTTTGAAGGCTTGGATTTTTTTCTGGAACTGAGTTTGTATCATCATGTGAAAATTTTGGAAAATGTGACCAACTTCTGATTTTTCTTTCATGAGAAAGACCCAAGTAAGACGTGTGTGATCATCAATGAAGGATACAAACCAACGACCACCTGAGATGTTGTTAATTCGAGAGGGACCCCAAACATCACTGTGAATTAATGAGAATGGACTGGATGGTGTATATGTGAGATGAGAATAAATAGTACGAGTGTGTTTAGCAAGTTGGCAGATTTCACAATGTAAGGAACTCATATTTTTATTAATGAATAAATCTGGAAACAACTTTGCAAGGTACATGAAATTGGGATGTCCTAGACGATAGTGTAACAACATAATGTCACTATCCTTATTGACTATAGATTTTGAAACAGAATTAAACTGATTTGAGAATGGACCATTGGATTGAACATAACTTGCCCTTGAACCTTGTCTTGTTGAAGGAAGATTGCCTTTGAGAAGATAGAGCCCAGAACACAATTCAGCACTGCCAATCATCTTTCCGGATTCCAAGTCCTGAAATTCACACAGATTAGGAAAAAATTTAGTTACACAATTGAGATCTTGGGTTAATTTACTAATTGACAGTAAATTACAATCCAAATTAGGCACATGGAGAACAGAGGAGAGAAACAATTCATTCGTGAGTTTAATGAAACCTGTTCCTGCCACTTTAGAGTGGGACCTATCAGCAATTCGAACCGTGGAGTTATCAGTGCATGGTTTATACTCATCAAACAAAGTGGCATCTCCTGTCATGTGGTCCGAAGCTCCTGTATCAACTATCCATGATCTGGATATTCCACTGTTTAGTGGCATCTCCTGTCATGTGGTCCGAAGCTCCTGTATCAACTATCCATGATCTGGATATTCCACTGTTTATAGTAAAGGCCGTAGGAGATTGTTTCTGTGCCACTAAGCATGTACCTGGTGTAGAAGAGTTAATAGTTGCCTGGTTAAATAGTCTCTGAAGGAGTTCCATCTGTTCCTTGCTGAATGGACTAGTTTCGGCTGCTGGGCTGTCTTCTGTGGTGGCAGCAACATGGGCACGACTTTCTTTATCATTAGATCGAAAGGATGGCTTCCAATCAGCTGGCTTTCCATGAAGTTTCCAACACTTTTCTTTGAAATGTCCTGGTCTTCGACAATGTTCACACCATGGTCTCCTTTTTTTGTCGATTGTCATAATTTCCTGCTATGTTGGATCCACGGGCTGCAAGAGCTGAAGCTTCCAGGGTTGTTGCAGTGGCGTCAGTTGAACCCATCATCACTTTCTTGCGGCTCTCTTCACGTCTGACTTCAGAGAAGGCTTCCCGAAGGCTAGGTAGAGGTTTTGTGCCCATTACACGACCTCTGACCTCATCTAGGTTTTTATTAAGACCTAGAAGAAATTTGAAAGTTCGTTTTTGTTCTAAAATTTTCCTGTATAAAGCAGCATCCTCAGTACACTTCCAGAGATGAATTTCAAACAAGTCTAGGTGCTGCCAATGACGGATCAAAGCAGCATCCTCAGTACACTTCCAGAGATGAATTTCAAACAAGTCTAGGTGCTGCCAATGACGGATCAGAGTATTAAAATACTGGGTAACTGAAAGTTCTCCTTGGCGAAAGTCATGGAGAATAGCTTCAACTTGAAACAACTCAGAGGTGTTTTCTGAGCTGGAATAGGTTTCCCGAGCAGCATCCCAAATTTCCTTTGCGGTTCCATACAAAAGAAAATTTTCTCCGATCTCATTCGTCATAGAATTGATGAGCCATGACATCACCATATGATTTTCGGTCTTCCACTTCCTGAATTTGGGATCTGTTTTATCTGGCATCACAGCTTCACCAGTAAGATAATCATCTTTGCCCTTCTCGCATATGAACATCATAACTGATTGCGACCACTGTAGAAAATTGTGGCCATTCAGCCTGTGACTCGTGAATTATTTATTATTATAATGAGGAGATGGAGTTGTTTTTTGTGGGTTGAGTCTAGAAGAACGTGAAAAAGTACTTCCCCAAATATTTGCAAAATGCTGTAGATTTCGGGAAGGCTCTCTATTTTTTCTCTCTTATCCCCATTTTGGGGAATGAGATGGGAATCTATTGGACAAAAAAAAAGCTCAAAATTCTTCAAATTTTAGAATACCAAGAAGATGGGGAAGCTGTTGGAGATGCTCTGAGCTTCCCCCCATCAAAAATATCTTTCCAAATAGTATCCCCCTCTAAAGTATCTTCCCGTTCAATCAGATTACTTTATATGCTAAGTAATTAATTTTTTTAAAAGAGACTTCTTAATGAATGTGATCGTTTATTTTAGTATATTTCAGATTTCCCCTTCATTTTAAAAATCTCATTGACGTTTTTTTACGAGTACATATAATTTAGAGTTTTACTACAGTGATCCAAAATATGTGATTAATGAGGGGGACAAGTGAGGTGTTCCCCCCTATTAGATAATGAGTTGACATCATTGGCCAACTCATTATCTAATAGAAGGGGAAACTCATATTTTACGTCATTGATAATTTTTTTTATAATTTATCTCCGAATAAACAAAGGAAAGAAATTAAAAACAACTCCCTCCTATTTAAAACCCAGCGAGAAATCTCAGGTCCCTCCTCTCAATTAAAAAAACGAGAACCCTAAACCGGCGCCCCCAGAACCCTAAACCCTAAAGCTCCCTCCTTAATTTCTTTCTTCCTCTTCTCTTCAGCCATGGGTCGCCGAGAGGACAGCAGCAGCAGCAGCAGCATCATGAAACCCCTCTCCGCTTGTACCACCACCGCGGAAGCGATGGAGGTCGAGAGGGCGGAAAGCCCGAATCTTGTCGAGGACTCGATCGAGGAGGGAACCCTAGTTGGAAGCGACAGGACCAGCGCCGACTACTACTTCGACTCTTACTCACATTTTGGTACGTGCCTGGTGTAGAGATGGGAGTCTTGGTGGTGGCTCTTTGGTTGTTATTATTATATACTTTTGCTCTGTATGGTTTAAACCTCGATAAACTTAGCGCTGCCGAAGTTTTTCGCTGTACCCTCATCCTCACAAATCTTCTGTTGTGCGAACCCAGATATTTTTGAAACTAGACGATATTAAAGAGCAAATATTGCGAAGAAACGCGAAAACTAGAGAAAGAGGGGGAAAAACAGAGGAAAAGTGAAGGCTTTGGGTTGGGTTTTAATGGGTTCAGAGAGATGACCATCATAGGTATTTGCTGAAAATTAATTTGTAAACAAGATTGGCGTATGATGAGAAATCTTAAAGGTGTTAAGTTTATTCTAGGCTTACCAATTTGATACAACTTCCTGTGGTGGACATATTTAAAAGATGCTCTTGGTGTTATTTTTAAAATGCTTTACAATTTGGGAAACAATACCAGAAAAACAATTTTTTTTTTGACTTGGTCCTATGTTTGCGACTGTATTTCTGTTTGCTAACTGGAAGTAAAAGTTGAAGAATAGCTTGTGAGTTCTAAGTGTTTGTCTCTTACATGTTTTAAAGCATAAAAAATTGTTAAAGAGTTATTGGATTTGTGGGAAATGGTTTCTTGTTTTGTATTGATAAGGGCTTAAATTTAGCGGTTGTGGTTCACAATTGTTTTAGCTTTCTGTGTGTGCAGATCTCTGTTAATGTTTTCTTGTAGGGTTGCAAGATACATAGAGTTTTGATATTTAGTGATATGGAAGCTATTAGTTTTACTTTTGGTATTTGGATTTGTTGCTTTGAGGATCATAACTATTTTTCTGTTTTTTATCGGGGAGCTCCTTAGCTGTCCCCTAGTTAGGATATTGACTTCTGATCATTGTGGACTCTCCATAGGACTCAACATTCTCCTTGCAGAGTTTATAAAGGATTTTTTTGTTGTTGGCATTCCATGTTAAATGTGTACTTGTATAAATTTGTATCAAATCTTTCTTATCTTCTTCATATGTCTTGGACCCTTTGATGCTAACTTAATCTGTTTTTTCCCTCTCTCATTTGATCTGCAGGCATACACGAAGTAAGTGCACTAAACTCCGATGCTATGCTGGTTATTACGGGCATAAATAATGGATACCTTGGTGATGCAGGCCCCATCACTTGGGGCTTGTAATGATCTTCATAAACAGAGTTCATTATGTTACTGTTGATTAGTTTTGATATATGAAAATATATTACGATTTATGACTGCTTATTCTTATCGTTGGAGTAGTTTATTTTTCGTGATTTTTTATTCAGATTAATCTGTTTCCTTTTTGCTTTGTTTTTCAGCTAAAATGCCACTTTGAAGTTATTACCAGGAATTAATTTTCTTCATGCATATAGACATTTAAGCTACATTCCTGTATAAAGATGAAGTATGATCTGGTTTTAATTTTAAACCTCAGTATTTATTTTAAAGCTAATTCAAATTGAAGTTATCTCCATGACATAGACAAAAGGTCTCAATAGATTAAGCAGTTAGTTTTATATAGAAGATACAGATTTAGCTCTCTTATGATTGATTATCCTTATTTTCAAGTCAAGTTATGAAGCCTTTGTGGTTCTAGAAATACAACAATTGAGGTCAAATATGACCTTTTAATATTTATCAGTTATTGTTCAACTTTCCTTCACATCCTCTCATATTATTATGCACGCTGCTTCTTGCATTTGCAGCTTTTCTGGAGTTTGTGTTAGTGGAAAAAAAAATCTTTATATCATTTTATTATTGACATCATCTTTTCTCTATGATATATTATCGGTATCCTAATCTTTTTTTGTTTTCCCACATTTTCCATTTTTTTTGCTTCTGATTGTAAGCATGGAGTTATTTTTACCACATGCTATTGATCATGAGAAAAACATGCACTGTTGTGCCCTTTCTAAGATTCATTTTATTTGTTTTATTTTATTTCTACAACTCATGTGCTCCTCAGATTTATGTAAGCTTGTTTTCATTTTCTGAAGTCGAGATGGTTTTACATTTTCTTTCGATATGACAATTTGGGTTACTTGCAATGATGTGACATAAGTAAAATCAGCTGACCAATATTTTATCTGGAGCTTTTCAGTTTCTATGATAGTTTACTAAAGAGGAAACCATGAACTGGAGCTGCAAATTTTTTTTTGATAAATAAAACTATTTTGATTAAGAAATTTTAGTAGTTAAACTGTGAAATTTAAGAGATAAAAACCTGGATTCCTCATTCCTTCCTTGAAACAGAATTACAAGGGCTATTTATAAGCTAATACAACTAAACCAACAAAATAGAAAATCCTGATTTCTATCCCATGAAATCAGGAACAGAAAAAACAAACTGCTGATTTCCATCCCCTGAAATCAGGAACAGAAAAACAACTGCTAAGAAATCAAATCATCCCCTGAAATCAGGAACAGAAAAACAACTGCTAAGAAATCAAATCAGGATCTCTTTTATTCAAAAAAACTATCTAAAAAATAGGAAGTTAATTATTCCCTAACTTTGAACATATTTTCAACATAAACCTTATTTTTATTGTCATGACCTCATGAAATGCAAAGCAACCATGAATTGATGTCTGAGTGTCTGGATATATTGATACTGCAGGAAATGTTGAAAGACATTGTGAGGACAAAGACATATCAGAAGGTTATTTATCAGAATTCCTTCTTCTTGAAGGACAAAGTAGTACTTGATGTTGGTGCTGGGACAGGAATTCTTTCTCTTTTCTGTGCGAAAGCAGGAGCCAAACATGTCTATGCAGTGAGTGATTTTCTCTTTTAAGTTGGAGATGGTTTCAATTCTGAAGTATTTCTGTTTTCTTTATGATTTACACTTACTATTAATAGTTTATGAGATGTTCTACGATCAGAGAACCTGCTCTGATATCATGATGGAAGATATAAACCATTAAAAATTTATTCTTTCTTTGAAGATACAAATAAATCCTTACTTATAAAATCGATCTTACAAGCAACATCCAATTGTATGGTAAAAAATTTCTAAAGTATTAGTATAATTAATTTAGACAATTCGTTACTCGTTGTTCCTTATAGCAATCACCCACACTCTATGAATGGGGAACTGCCCCTAGCAACAGATGCTACAGCATACTTATTTCTTATTTAGTTTATCTGCTAGTTTCCTTGTTTTCATGAGGACTAACACACTTCAGAGAATCAGAAGTATAATAGCATATACACTATAGTTTTTGTACCTTTTTTAGTACTACAGATTACTGCTCTTGCTTATCTGGTCCCATGTGCCTCTAGGCCTTTACTCTTCTAAATCCAATTTTATTGTTTTTTCTTCAGTAGGACAAGGGGTTATCATCTATTATCATCAGCTAACTGTCAAACGTCTTGCTGATTATTTACTGGATATTATGGCAACCATTTATTTTTTCCATTGATGGGCTGTGCACTTGCTTTTGATTTGTGGTGATAGGAATCTCTTGACTTCCCTTCTTTTACTCATTGAATTTTTTTGGTTCTGCAGATTGAATGCTCCCAAATGGCTGATATGGCGAAAGAGATCGTTCAAGTAAATGGATTTTCTAATGGTAATTTCATATTCTACAAATATTAAAGGGTAAACTTTATTTCATATTAGGGATTTATACTTTTCCTTTCTATTTTATCAGTCATAACAGTCCTAAAGGGAAAAGTAGAAGAGATTGAGCTTCCTGTACCCCATGTAGACATCATCATTTCTGAGTGGATGGGCTATTTTCTTCTGTATGAAAATATGCTCAATACTGTCCTATATGCACGAGATAAATGGCTAGTAAGTGACTTATTATTTTCATCTCTCATGCTCATGATCATGTCTGGCTTGTGCTCGATAATTTGCTTATAAATATTTGTCGGTTTAGCTTGTGGACCTATACCTCTGGCTATGAGATGTCTACAGTGTTGCTCTCAGAGCTTGAAATGCTCTTTTAGCATCAGCATATGGGGGGTCAAGACTTTGAACAAATCACTCTCTTAACTATACACGTGCTGACCATGTTCAAAATTTATGTACAGCAGACTATGAGAAATTAAAAAAAGGATCTGCAAATGTTCTTCAGCTTCCCAGTTCCAAACTCAAGAAAGTTAGTAAGCAGAGACTTGCATATGTCATCTTCATCCATGATAATACCCAAAGAAAATGTGCTAGTGGAGATGAATCGATCTGGAAATCTTTACATGCCAAACCTTGATCCGCTGCTCCTATTATACACTTTCGGAGTAACACTTTTTGAAGATAAAATATTACTCCTGATACTAATATACAGTATTAATTTAGATGTGGGGTTGAGTTTGCTTATTGGTCTTTTAGAAGCTGAAATTTGTACAATTAAAAAGAGAAATGTCAATAACTTAATGCCGTTGAGTGCCTTATTAAAGCAAAATTTTAGGCTTCATATTGTTCAGTACAAATTGAAGGATCGTTTGGCCCTCCCTTATAGAGATTATCCTTCTTAATCTCATGACCAATTTATATTTATTGATTTTGTTGAAATCTTTATCATTTTGTGTCCTGTAACCTACATCATTCTTGCATATTTAGTATTCTTTGAGTTTATCTGTATAATTGTAATTATGCTGCTGTGAGCCTGTAAGTTTTATCGTTAATTATGTATCAAAACATTTTATCTGATCTACTGCTGTAATTATGTGCAAGGTGGATACAGGCAATCTGTAGCATGAACCATGAACTCTTGGCCAAAAATAACTATATGTACAAAGCTTTATGTTCCTAGTGTGCAATTCTTAGAACTAAACAGCATATCATCACGTCTACTTTCCTGATGTGCATCATGTGTTCTGGTGTTACATCTTGCATGTGATGTTTTCATTCTATTCCTTATGTTAGATCTAACACCAGAACGGATGGTACACCTCAGGAAAGTAGTGTTCAAAGTTGAAATTCTCTCATCAAGGTCTATTCTTTTCCCTTTAATATGCTTAGGCACAGGAATTACTGGTTAACATTTTATTGTACTTAATTGCATTTGGTCTGGATGTACTGATGTATATCAATGACTACTGTAGTTGTGCTATGACAACTGCACAACGTAAATGTTAACTATTGTTTCTGTACAGGTTAATGATGGAATTATTTTTCCCGACAAAGCTTCTTTATACTTGACAGCAATTGAAGATGCTGAATACAAAGATGACAAGATTGAATGTGAGCATATTTTCCTATGTTATCTTCATTAGTTTGTGTGCTTGATGCAAATCCATTACCTAATTGTGTGAGAAACTCCTTTAGATGTTCTTCACTATTTTTCATTATTTCACTGAATTTTAAGCTTTTATTTCTAAGACTGTCTATTTGTTTTCTTTTCTTTTTAAGTCTGGAATAATGTATACGGCTTTGATATGAGCTGCATCAGAAAACAGGCTATGATGGAACCGCTTGTTGATACTGTAGACCAGAATCAAATAGTCACTAATTGCCAGCTACTGAAGGTGATACCCTCGTTCTTTCTTTCTGTTCCTGTAATTAATTTCATGCCTCTTAAACATTGTATCATGATTTCTCTTACACTATGTGCAGATGATGGATATCTCGAAAATGACTCCTGGGGATGCCTCTTTTACTGCACCATTCAAACTTATAGCAGAACGTGATGATTATATACATGCACTCGTTGCATACTTTGATGTCTCATTTACTAGATGTCACAAACTGATGGGCTTTTCTACAGGTGATTATCTAGTTCCTTATCTAAACGTGGTTCATTCTCCAAACATCTGCCATAAAGAAAAATATAATCTAATTAATGATGGATATAATTCTGTATTAATACTTACAGGCTCTTTTATGAAATTATTCTCCCTTCAAAGATCTCGCAAACTGTACTTGTAACTGGCAACTGCAGTTAACGATCCATGTTTCACACTGCAATATAAATCTCACTATAGAACCACTTGTGTCCTTACTGTGGGAAGCCCATCATGTTGAAAATTTCACAAGTCAGAAATGACGGAAGTGGCTAGTTCCCCTGGTTACTTTTTGACATCCTTTTTTTGGGTAATTGATGATGGACCCTTTGTACTATCGTCAAATTCCAAATAGACCCTCTGGAGTTCCATTGTTGCGGATAGACCCATTTACTATTGCCCAATTGCTGGTGGACCCCTGAGTGAATTTTTCTTGACTTTTTTGGCCTCAGGAGGTACGTTGGTCAAAAAACAATTTTTTCTTCCTCTGAGGGTAAAGGAGTAAAAAAATTTCACTGAGGGGCCTATCTGCTACAATACTACAGAGGGTTTGTCTGCAATCAAACCCCTTTTCCCCCCCTTCATATGCATGGGGAGTGATATAGCTCTACCTTCTTCCTTGAAACAACTAAAAAGTCCTTATGCATGTTTATTTGGAACCTTTGAGAGTGACATTTATCATTTCCGCAGGACCGAGATCAAGGGGTACTCACTGGAAGCAAACAGTTCTATACCTTGAAGATGTTCTAACTGTTTGTGAAGGAGAAGCCGTGGTCGGGAGCATGACGGTGGAGCCTAACAAGAAGAATCCTCGGGATATTGAGATACTGCTCAAATATTCTCTAAATGGACGGCGCTGTCAAGTCTCAAGAACTCAACATTACAAAATGCGGTAACCCCTGCACTGTGGAAGAGACGATTATAATTGTATGACTAGTTAATTTCATTCATTCCTGAGAGTACTTATCTTCATTTGTTCGTGTCTTATTGACTGTATGGAAATTTAAACTTGCAATTTTCAAATGAAATTATTTGTTTTTCGTGAAATTATAATCGATCTTGCTGCTAATACCTGAGAAAATGTAGCGCAAGCGAATGTTGTATTGACATATTAACGTAATTAGAAGATTTTCATAGTTTATTGTACTAGGCTCTGAATACTGAGGAATTAACTTCTGATGTTCCTAGAGCTACAGGACTTCATAGACTGAACTAATAGATTTGAGAATTACATCATGCGTAGTATGAGCCCCACATGAGTTCATATTGCCACTAATTAAATCTAGCGTTTGAGAACTGGTTAACATTTGTTTACAAGTTGATTTCTTCAAGTGCATGTTTTGCAACTTACTTATTTTTACTTATAAGTAACTCTTTATTTATAAGTTTGCAACATTATGTTTGGTAAGAGTCCTTATGTTACTTATAAGTAGCAGAAAAATAAGTTGGGATTTCCCAACTTATTTTGGACTACTTAAAAGGAACTTTCTTTTTTCTGGCCAAAAGACATAAATGCCCTCCTAATACCTGTACTTAGCTAAATATTTTCTTATTATAAAGTGATTAATATTATTAATTAATTAGTTAATTATTTTTATTTTAATAATAATAATTAATATTATAATAGTATATAATATATTATAATGTATA